AAATTAAATAATTTTATAGGTATTATATAATTATAAAATATTATTATAAAACTATAATATCATAGGATTGGCATGTTATGTATCTTTTTCTGCTGCACTAGTAGATCTTTAGCACCCAATGTACCACAAACTAAGCATTAGATAAAGAGAAAAGTCAAAGGAAAGACTGTGCATGGTCCAAGATCTAGGGTAAAGTACATGAAAGAATAAGACTTGGTCTATGAAACTTAGAATCTCATACAAAACTCATAATCAAATTTTTGCAAGTGATAATTATTGGAGACATATTAGGTAATATTTATTGAAAAATATGTTCAAATGAGAAAAATGAATTATAAGGAGATCGTATGTGAAAATATCACTTGAGTTTCTTACCTAAGTAATGTACCTATCTTACAATGGTATATGGTTGAGTTCTAAACCTTTTAATAAATATGTAGTCATTATAATTTATTTTTAATGGCTTCGAGATGCTTGTGGTTATCTTGGTCAATAGTACATGTGGTAATTTAATAGTTTAATGCTTAATGTTATTAACAATTGATATGTGATTAATGCAATGCTTGTATATAGCTAATTTGTGATTATTATTTTTGAATGATAAAAATAGTGAATAAATATGTGCATGAAAAAATGGATTCATAAAAAATTTGAGAACCTAAATGAAAAAAACTAAAGAAGAGAGTTACCCATTTATGAAATGAAAGTGATGCATTTGAATGACCTTGAGGATAGCTAACTCCTAATTAGAATTTTGCAGGCAATAATTTTTAAAGACTGATATCAAGTAATATTTCTTGAAAAATGGGTTCACATTAGAAAAATGAATCATAAAGAAATCGTTTATGAAGGTATTTCACTCAAGTTTCTTGCTCACACATCCATCCACATCCATCCCTAAAGCGTAAATGTAAGCATCTTACAACATTACATGCTTGAGATCTAAAACTCTTAGTAAACTTGTAGCTTGTTTTGAGTGGTGTGCTTGAGTTGTAGGGGAACTATTGATGGATTTTATTTACATGGGTATTACAATGCAGTTGTTTCTGTAAATTTTGGATGCGCAATTTTCTAACTTAATCATGAAAACTATGATCATGCACAATGCTATATTATATCAGTTATATGAAAAACTCAACTCTTAGATCATTATGTGTGATAGAATTCCTGTATCCTTTTATATGTTATAGTTCAAGATTTAATACACTATTGAATTTAGAGTATGAATTGTGACTTACTAAATAAAGTTTCAAGACTTAGTTATTTTTATTATGCATAATAATACGTTGTTGCTGAAAATAAATTTTCATCATCTCTATTATTACTTATCTCCAAACCGATGTAGTATCCCATCCAATTGATGACATAAACCTTATAGAATCAAGCCAACTCGTCTTGTTATTAACACACCCCATGAGAGTGGGATTTATATATTGCAGTTGACTGTAACTTTGAAGCAAAGCAAAAGAAAAGATTTTCAGTTTTACAACGAAAAAATTTGTCACAATGATATTTTATAAAAGGTAAAATTGCATACACACTCCTTTGTAGTTTGAGATAGCTACATCCCCCCTCCCCAAGATAAGATAAACGCATTTTGCACCATAAGATAAAATTAAAATTGGAAATTAAAATCTTGTCTCATTAGTATTGAGAGTATTTAGGTGAGAAAATGTGTAAATAAAGATATTAATTTTACATTTTTTCTTATTCAAAAATATTAACTTTATTAATTTTTAAATAAATATATAAATTTTTATTTTTATTTTTATTTAAAATGACAATTTTTAATATTTTAATTAAAATTTTTTTTATCAC